GCTAAAAACAAGATGATACTGGTAATTAAAGTATACGCAACACATTCCATATATAAAATTCAGAAGAGAATGGTAATAGCAAATTCTAACCTCCAAACGACCTGAAGAGACTAACTCTGGAAACGGGTATTTGAGCTTCTCATCTAGGGTGTCCTTGTTAGGTTTATCTTCAGAAATTTTCCCACAAGTGACCACAAGCAGACTACAAGTGTGCTTTGAAGCTCCCTGAGAATGATTCATTATTTCCCTGCAGGCGCCCAGAGAGTTGGCAAAGCAAAGAAGCCCAGGCTGCTCACCCAAGAATTAAAACCCGAAAACCATCACATCTCCTAGATTATAACACTGAGGGCATGCATCAACTTCGACCCTGACTTGGATACCAACCACACCAACCTGATCAAATTTCCAACTTGATTCACCTTGTAGCTAGCATTCAAGGAGGGATAACCAAATCTACTAAGAGGGGTCAAATCCCTCCTCACAAAGCACTCTCAGAACCAAAATTTCGCCAGAAAGCCAGCATGGACTCAAAGAACAGAAGGTCCTAGCAACAAGATCCAGGACCCAAAACAAGCCAAACCCTATCTCACAGGAAGAACCTATAATGGAAACTATGAGCAAACTCGACCAAGTTTTGCTTACTGACGGATGCAAATTGGAAAAAAGCCCTCAAATTTCAACCCAAAAACTGTTGAAATTGAAAAAATAACCGAGACCCAAATGAGAAAACCTGGAGAAATCAACGAACCTGGCAAGGAACAAGGGAAAATTCACCACCTCAGACGACAGAAACAGAAAAACTCACCGACCCAGATGAGGAATTTGAAGAACTTGAACAACCCAGAATAGAAAATCAGGAAATACCGACGACCCAAGAGTCCTTAGCTTCTACAATCACAAAAAAAGCACAAAATAGACGAGTAAAGTACGAAAAGAGAACCCTAGGCCCGTAAAATCCAAATCCCCAAAAAGAAATTCGCATAAAAAAAAACCAACTTCTAATAGGAATTAATTTATTTATCTGTTTCTGTCTATTGTATCTAATTCAGCACCAAAATAAATCAAAATGCTCACAGTCACCAAAATTTAATAAATTTAAAGTAATTAATATTCGCATTTGTTAAATAGGTGGGTGTGTCAGAAAAATGCATTCAACCTCAAAAAGGTCAAACATAACCAAAAAAACATTGATGAAACAAAAAGAGACTAATTAAAAGGACTTTTGACGAACTTGGTAAAGTACCAAACTTTGATTGGAACCCAATTGAGTTTAGCGTGTAACAAACATTCAACCCAAAGCCGAAGCCAAAGCCAAAGCCTCAAAGCCAAAAGTTCGAAACTTTCTTAGAAATTGAACCAAAACCAAAACAGAGGAGCAGTAAGTTTTTCAAGTCCCATTTCGATTTGTTAATCTTTTTCTTGTATTATTATTACCCTCAAGATTCGGAACTTGTGGGAGGTAGAGTAACAACAACAATGTTTTTGATGTGGTCATATGCTCCAAAAGATAATCAAAGAAAGCCCAGGATTTCTTTACTATATTTGTTTTCTTATGCATTTCATTTAATTTAATTTTCCTGTTGGGTTTTGGGTTAAGGTTGGCATTCATAATTCTTTTCGTTTTTCTTTTGATTGCTTCAAGTTGATTGGATGCACGAGGAGGCCCTGATCTTATTCGCTCGGAGCTTGATCAATGATCAAAGCTCATCCAATTCCCAGTCTCCATCAACATCTCGCTCCCACGTGCGCGCGCGTAAATGTACACGCTATGGTGCCTAAGCGCCAAATGAAGCATGCAATGCAAGTGATCATATCAAAAGTAACTCCCAACTCAACTTGAAACTTGAAATTTGAGCTCCTAATGACAAATTAGAAAGGTTTTTGGAGTTAAAGTTTGAGTCTTTTAATTACCAACTCCATTTTGATGAAAAGAAAAAAAATTTACGAACCCAATGACAAATGCAATTTCATAATCTAAACTATCGATTTTGTATGTTATGATTGTGATTAGATCAATAATCGAACATGCTATTTTTTTCTTATGAACACTAACTATTTGTGATGATAATCAAATAGCTAAACACAATTCTAGACTGATAGTTTTAAAAGTAGCATGTTACAAGATAACCTCAACAACAAAACCAAAAAAGAAAAAAGAAAGTTGACTTATCTTATATTTGTAAAACTCATGAGTTGAGTTGATATTTTTGATGTCTTTGATTATACTGTTGAAATTTATATTTGATTTTAAAAAAATGTTCATGGTTGAACCTATTATATAACTCGATTATATTTGGAATCTAAATTAGAGTCTCAAATTGGCCATCCAGCCTACTCATTTCTTGAAGTTATTAGGTCTTACTCTCCACACACAGGGTTGAGCTTGAACTTAGCGACAGTAAGAATTGACAGATTTTCTCTCTTCTATTTTGTTTCGACTAACGAATTTGAATTTTATGCTAATCTTGCGACAACAACTAATGTCTATGCACGTGCCCATGTAAATTTGTCTTCTCCCTCTTTTGATATTTAAGGAGAGTGGTGGTTTTTTTAGTTTTCTTTTAATTCAGGAAAATGAACAAGTTTCTTATCCGCCTAATGTCACATCAAGTTGTTAACAATAGATCTCAATTGCAATTGTCAGAAATTAAAAGGCTAACACCAACAAAGTAAGGTACAGAAAAAGCAAGATAGTCAAATTTTATAACCGTAAATACGAGTTTAAGAGCATCTCCAACGAATTCCTATCAATAACACAATATTATGTGACCTAATTGGAGATACTCGGAGTACCACAACTGGTACTATTTGAACATGAAGGGATGGTATATGATAATGTTCTGCTTACATGATCTGAAGGTTAGTTGTCCTGTCTTTAATATGTATGAATATTAATATATAGCATGATATCTAGTAAAAGGCCAGAATCATTTTGTTTGCAAATCGGAAAAAGAAACGAGTCTAGCTATATACAAAATGAAGCCTTGGGAGTCACCGACTGCTGGCAACCCTTTAATTGCCTAAAAAACTAAATCTTTCGGACCACAAATAAGTTAAAAGTTATGCTACAGGCCACACCACTCACAACTACTTCTACAAGCATCTTTAATATATGCTAAATGAAGGGAAGCACGCCGAAGCAAACCATGAGACTGGTCTTTGTAATCAAGCTCTCCAACATTTAAATCACACCTTTTCACTAATTTGGTGAAACTAATTAATCCAGCTCTTCAAGGATTTCCAAAACTGATGTGGGTTTACCAAAGTTTGGTTTGGTAAAACAATGGTATGATATATGATTTGAATAGCCTCAGCAAGACTTGAAATCTCTCATGAATCTCTTTGAAATCAGTTATTACCGTCAAGAAATCTAGGTTGAAGTATATTGAAATCTGTTCGTAATTTTGAAAGGAGTTTTGCGTCTCAGTTTCATATTTATACGATCTTGACTGCCCATGTTAGCTTGGCTTCTAAGTTAACATTTGCAATACGTTTCTATTAACGTCCATAGACACTCTTTGTCGTGGTAGAAAAAAAAAGACAACACATGCTTTGATTATAGTCACGTGATATGTGTCCAATTTATGACCAACACCCTTTAACCACCGATAGTCTGTGCCTAACATGAATACATGCCACATGTTTATCTGTGACTTATACATTATCATGACGTTTTCCACTAGTGATCGTCTAAATATTCTATCCCATGGCATAATGTCACCATCTTGGCCAGAAATAGGCCAAGAATGTGACTTTAAGTACAAACAGATAGCATTCTAAGTTTGTAACCACATGCATGTTTAATAAAGATGAAATCCACCAATACAATTAAGTAAACTGAAATAAAGCAGAAAATTTTTAAGGGTCGCATTAGAGCAACCAGTTAAAGTCCGGATTAATGCATTTTCCTGTAGTTTTTCATTTGCAGCTGAAACATCAATGATTATTTATGTGTGGTATTCTTATAGGATCACCATGTTCACTTAATTCTAGAAGTTGTGACGTTCTTCATTGAAAATCTTTTACTTGAACATGTCATGAACCCTGAAACACAGTATACACTGATTGGCTACTTTACCTAACACATATATTTGATTAATCTAACGCAGAAATTCAAGCTTGATTTGAAAAACAATGAATTAAGCTCGAAGGTACGCCCGGATTCTGCGTGCAGATAGATTTGATCACCCCTTCATCAAACTGGGAAGCATTTTTATGGCAGACCTGCATTTTTTTAGCAGCCTTCTTATTGATCTCAATTATTAGCATATGAGCTTATTTATCATTAATTTGCTTTCATTCAGCACTTAATTTGAAGCTCATAATCGAGATTTAAAACCCTCGTGGTTTAGGTAATGACACGTCCTCTCTATGAGTGCAGCCTTGCAGGTTGCTGTTGTTGAATATTCATGTTTATGCATAAGATCTTCCAACTTTTGTTCTTCTTCAATCTGTCCAAAAAATCTGTTCTTTTGGATCGTAGAGCTTCTTTCATTTTCATGATTTGAAAGTCTTCACCAATGATGGGATATTTTGAAAAATATTTTTACAAAGTCACGTCTCACGACTAGATATTGAATCTATCACAATTTATATGGTGTCGTGGGGCACAAATCGACCATGAAAGAATTGACAACAAACGGAGAAGTGAGACCACAAACAACATTATCTTCTTCAAACAATATGCGCACATATAGGATGGTTTATCTTTCCAAATCTAACCATGAGAGACTAGCTAGTACAACAGTGTGTCGCAGATTTAGTCTGGTACTGGACAAAGCTGCACATATACCAAAACGTTGATATCTATGAAAATATCTAAGGCCAAAGGTTGCTGCCTCCAATGAGAGTTTTCCAGTTATCATAAACAAACAATAAAAGAAAGCGATAGTGCAAGAAGGTGAATTGATGCTTATCTCAAAATAGAAAGGGATACAAATCAAGAAACTGCCTCAAAAAAAATATATACATTTTTTTTTAATCTTGTTATATAACAATAATTAAACAATCCAATAGCTCACTTCATTAAAATTTTCTTCCCGCTTAGCAATTTTCAACTCATAGAAGCTAGAAAAATTAAAAAGAGTATATATTTAATTTAATTTAAAGTGCAAATATGTTTCTGTGCTGTGGAATTCGGTCTTGTTGTAGATGTACATCTTCCAAGACACTAAGCCGACTCTTAGTATTGCTGCTGCAACGATTTTGGCCACGCCTGTAAGATGCTAGCATTTGCTTGGTAGAAGCCTCTAAGTCTCTCATTTCATCAATCACAATCTGTCTGTTCCTGCACTGTATGCTGCAAAATCCTAGATCACCTCTGCATTCACATATTCGATTCGCAAACTATATCAGAATCTATGCCAAGTCCCATTACGCAGTTTAGATTAGTTTAAAGTAGACTATCGCTTATGTAAACAAAATAAAAAGTCCTATTTTGGCAAAATAAAATAAAATATATATTTTCTCAGAACAAAATTATGAAAAAACCAACAAAGATGAAGAATTAAGTTTTGGAAATTCATGCATATGTGTGGAGAGTCTAATTATTTTTACAAGTTTTACCTGTACATGTAGACCTCTTTCTCAAGGCTTAATCCCTTGTTGCATAAGTGACATGTTTTGAGAAAGCAAGAGAACTCAGGGTTGGGCTGGCTCAATCTTAATGAAGATTTCACAATGATATTTGACTTGTTCCCTTGTGAGACCTGTATAAGGATTTTCAATCCAACAGCCACTGAGCTCTGCTTATGGTCGACCAAATTGGAGGCCTTTCTGAACTTGGAGTTCATTTTTGCTGAACCAGAGAGAAGAGGAGAGAAGAGGAGAGAGAAGAAGAAAGAAGAAGAAACAGAAAACTTAAGAGGGTTTGTGAAGTAAGGGTTGAGCATTAGATATTTAAAGGCAACTTTGCTTCTCCGTCCACATACACACACACACAGAAATAGATCAATAATATTTAAACAAAGATAGACGGATGACTTTGCTTCTGTTATTTTTATTTTGTTATTGCTACATCATGAGCCACGTGCTGCAATTTGCGTGTTCCATGTCTTTACCATGTCTGCAATCTCCTGCAGGGTTAAACTTAAAACGAGTTAAAAACAGGAAAAGGGTTTTGAAGTTGAAGCCATTTTCCTACCCTAGGCCTTTGGTTTTGTTTGGCCCTACCAGAAAACGAGCGAACGTTTTGTTTTTTGTCCAGCATGTGAAACGTGATAATTGTGAAATAAATTGTGTGGATCCTCTTTGTTAATTATTAATTCTTTTCACCTTTCTTGTCCCCCCCACTATAGAGAAGTCGATTCCACTAAGGAGTTGGCATTGAATAATGTTTTAGGTTCGATTCTTCTTTTTTAATATCTTAATATCGCTTTTATATATATATTCTTGCATCCGAGGTCCTAAGCTCGATTCACTTTTCAAAATCTCCCAATATCATTTATATAAAAATATATATATATATTGATTTTTCTTTTGGAAATTCCAAAAATAAACAATCAAAATTGTCAAAAATTATAACAAACATTAGTATTGGCGTATAAGAAGGACTCATCAAAGTGTTAGAAAAATAAAAAAAGAATCACCAAGGAGGAAAGTAAAGCCTATCTCTTTTCACTCCCTAGGAATATATAATTAGGGTTGAAACAATGACATTGGATACTTAAAGATTAAACATTTTAAAACTAATGGTTCATGAGATCCCTTTATTCTTTATTTATACCCATAATTTTCCCTACTAAATATTTTACTCACTCCTAATATGATGCCAAGATTTCGATCCTCAATCAAAGATCCTTTTTATAAAATTTCCTTAAAATCGGAAATCGTCTAATCATTGAATTGTCATCTTTGATTATTTTACTAGTTTATAAAAAATTAATATTGAGCTCGTCTATTTATTTGACAACAATTAATAAGGAAATGATTTTTAATACTTTGCTAGAAAATGAGTTGTTTGGATTGTGAGGTTGTGTAATAAAGCTCAAATGACTAGTGAGCACCATACCGTATGTATACAAGCTCCAATATGTGGCGCCCATATTAGACACTTTTTACCCCACATAGTTGCATTATGTAGAGTGACTTTAAATGAAAGGGATTGTGACCATATAATATAATAGTTGCATCCCTATTGTCTACATGATATGATCATCTACAAATTCGAAAACAACCTCTATTCGTCTGGAATATTGAATTTAAAGCTATTGCTTATAGTCAATGGCGTATAGCCTAGTGCAAAAGGGGCATTGACTTACAGACCAAAAGTCTCAGGTTTAAGTTGTTAAAGAATACAACACAGTTCCACATCGGATATACTTAACAAAATATAAAGTCCCATATAATAAATAGCTCCACTCCCAACAAAATCGAGGTATTTTTTATAAAACTCCACACCTGCTAAACATGTGGTTAAGTTATGGACAATATTGATGTTGCTAGTAGTAGGCCAAGGGTCCGTCCCTCTTAAATCTTAACACGAACCCCCATGACATCATTTGTGTGTGTGAAAAATCCCCTTTTCCTCTAATTAAAATTATTACTTGTACTAAAAAAAAATTATTGCTTATATACCAACCCTGACAAAATCAATCAACTGCTGCCTTTTATTTATTTATTGATCAATCACTTTTACATGTATTTTACATAATTGGTTTAAAATTTGACAACAATATATTGGGGTACATACAGGCACCTTTTGGGATTCAAATACATCATTTGGAGATTGAAAATGAATAACGTTTAATCATCATACATATATGTGCATTCAAATTCAATAGTGACAATTTCAGGACAAAACTCATGTGCGAAAGGAAAATCTTCTAAGATACTTTCCAACCTTACTTTTTATTTTTGTTTGTTTGTTTTTTTATTTGTTTTTGTTTTTAAATACAAATGATAGTATAAAATATAAGGAGAGTGAATTTCTCACACACACTACCAAGGTGTTATAGAATTCGAACTTGAGACCACTAGTCTGTAAATCAAGGCCATTTTTTCACTGAGTTAGATCCCGTTGAGTGTTTGTTTTCTTTTTTAGATTATAGAGAAAATGGTGTTAAAAGTGAAATATTCAGAAAAAAAGTAGCAATATATATCATATTTTAAATTTCTATAAAAAGGCCTCTCACGTGCATTGTCGCTCCATATATATATATACTAATTCTAGTATATAAATATAATCAGCTCGAAAGTCACATGTTTCACATCGATCGTTGTAGGCTTATAGTACATCAATTGTTTGTTTGGAAGAGCATATGGAAAATAAAATTGAAAGTACTATAGCCAACTTTGGCTCTAATTTTGTCCCAAACACTAGAAAACTTATATGCATAAATCCTACACAGATTTAGTGCCTGTCAGGCTGTCATTATCCAATAATTTGCAAGTTCCTCCACTTCACACACCTTTGCATCTCCCATAAAATAAAGAAGTTAATCAGAAGGGGAAAGAAGCCCATATCATGCACCAAAGGTATATATAGTGTAATGTACTTACAAAGGTGCATTTCCTGCTTTATCAATATTTTAAGATTTTTTTTTCTTCGACAGAAGTGATAGTCTAAATTAATATAATGTACGAGAAGAGAAATTTAAACTTGGATGTAAGAGGAAACTTCGATATGAAATCTTCTTAGAATTCTAATTGAGGGTTCTTATGATCCTTTGGCACATGAATTTAAGTGATGTTCCTTATGGAACACCAATACATTTCACTGTACATTCTTCATATCTCAATTTACAATTGCATATTACTTATCTTGAAATCTAAATAATCCCAACCAAATCTGCCTCTTTTCCTAATTCTATCTCCTAATCTTTAAAGAAGATTGTCCACCCAAAAACAAATTTATCGACATACTAAGCCAAAATCATCGGCCACCGATTTCTCAATCAAATGGGACTTTTTATGTTCATTAAACGTTTTTATTTTTTTTTGGGTGAAAAAGGAGGGGGTTTTTCATAGGCACTGTCAAAGTGTTATGGGGTTCGAAGCTGAGACCACTAATATGCAAGTGAATATCATTTGTTTTATTGGACTAGACTTAATTGACATGCTCATTAAAAATTCCAAATCACTATTCATTAAAAATCCAGACAAACCAACTGGCCCGATTAACTTGTGCAAATTCCAAGCCCAAACAAGTTGAGGAAGGCCTCAACATCATCACATCTTAAAAGTCCATAGTCGTCATTGTTATTTTTGCAAGATTGTGCTGAAGATATTGTTTAATGTTTTCAACTAGTTGTGGCCTCTACAAGTTCGAATTTGTAATTTTACTTTTATACAAATTTATAAATAACCCAATTCTAGACATGTATTTATAAAAAAACTCAAATACTATTTAAACATAGAAACACTCAAAATCAATCCCAAAATCAACAATTGTATATTTTTTGGGTGTGTTTATAAATGAGTTTTGAGTGTGTGTAATGATCGGTTTTGGGTGTGTTTATAAAGTGTTTTGGGTGTTGAGTTTTTTTATAATTTCAGCCCGCATTTTGGGTGTTTTAGTAAAACTCCCTTTTATTTACAGCATTAAGAAAAGAAGAGACATTCAAAATCTCAGACAAAACCACACCCTTCCATCTCCCGCATACTTCAACCACAACCATAACCACGTATTAGCATCGTCATTTCTTTGAATTATAATTTTCATCACATATATATATATATAAAATTAGGATTTGATACGATTTATAAGGAAAAAAAAAATAACGAAAACCCACCGTATAGCCAAGCGGCTATACTATATCTTTTAAAAAAATTAAAAACAGAGTCGAGCATTATGGCTATACTATTACTTTAAAAAATTAAAAAAATCAAGTATCGCCGTACGGCTATACTATTTTTTTAAAGCCGCCCGGCTATACTATTTATAAAGTAAAAAAATTAGCCGCAGCCTTGTATAGCCGCGCGGCTATACTACTTCTTTTAAAAAAACCGAGTATAGCCGGGCGGCTATACCTCTCAAAAAATAAAAACCGGAGTATAGCCGTCCGGCTATACGATTTCTTAAAATAAAAAATAAAAACCGGGTATAGCCGTCCGGCTATACGATTTCTTAAAAATAAAAAAAGGGTATAGCCGGCCGGCTATACTATTTTTATAAAATAAAAAATAAAAACCTGGTATAGCCGCCCGGCTATACTATTTCTTTAGAAAAACCGAGTTCAAAGATTGTAAAAGAAGATGAGGATGCCCATTGCCCACGCATCTTCGATTTCCTGTTCTTTTTTTTTTTGGGGGGCGTCGCATTGGGAATCAATCGCTTTTGCAATTTGATTAAGAATAATTATTGGGATTGGCCTGAAAAGGGTAAATTTTATAGCAAATTCATGGGACATATGTATATGTATATGTGGACCAATATTCTAGTGTGAAAATAGTAATCCCATATTGAATGATCACAACTATGAGGATGTGATTAACGAGGTTGAAGATCATTGGTACCCTATAGCAAATTCCAAAGCTATATCTGGGGATCAATATTCTAGGGTACTACTCATGAATAATAAAAAACTTTCGGCCATGTGATTAATGAGTTTGTAGATCATTATCTCTACCATCAAAGAAGATAATCACAATACAGTTATGAAAAAACTCGAGATAATATTATATATTCAGAAATGTTCTCTTGTTAATGGATCGTTAAATTGATTTTTTTTATGATCTCATCAACTGTACGAGGAGATTTTATTCATAATTAAAACTCGAAAAACAGAGAAACATAAAACCTAACTCAAACTATAATGATCAATTAAGAAAGCGTCTCAAATAATGTTAGGGGGCATCTCAAACCATTCGAAAGAATCTGCGGAAGTTAAAGCAAACTTAACTAAACTACATGCCGGCACAACACCATTTACCTTAATGTGAATGATACACACCAATGCTATGAAAATAAATCATATTTATAACCCTTAAAAAAAATCATAATGTTTGACATAATCAAAGTGAAAATCATACCCCTTGAATTTCATCGTCATTCTTGTATATGCAAGCTTGCTGATGAATGTGTGTAATGTCATCCTAAGACTAATACTTGTCGTGCAAGAAAGACAGCATTAGCTGTATAATATGCCCAATGCCACCCAATTAAGGGAATAATTAAGATGCAATATTCGACACAAGTCCTTGCCCCTCAATTAAAGGAGTGGGGGTGATTCCAGTACTTTCGGGTCCAACTCAACTTCTCATGGTGTAATATTGTGCTAATTAAAAGTAGCATTACACATGTAGGAATATGATAAAATTATAAATATTTATTCCATGAAAATATCACATGTGATTGATATACTCATTTGACACTGCTTAGGGCTCCTTTTTAGAGCTGTTATCGAGAGAAGCACCTCTCACGTGATTCTCCATATATAATTATTTTAAACGATTCCAGAGAGAAGAACATCTCATTTACTCTCTATAAAATCACTTGAAACCACATAAAGTGATTAAATGGAGAAGTGACTCTCCATATAGGCCTGTCTAGAATAATGCTTTCTTACAACTAAGAGCGCTTTTGAAAGCATTTGAGGGAAAAACTTAAAAGTGTTTGTAGGTTATATATATAAGTTTTTTTTCTTTTCAAAAATCATTTGAATCGAATAAAATTGCTTGTAGTAAAAACGTTTATGAGCAAAAATGCTTGTCAACAATCCCATATGAGCCCAACATATAGGTTCCGATAAAATTCTCGAGTTGAAATTTGTTTCTAAAATCTCTAAGAAGTGATAAAATTAGGATAATTCTCCAACTTCTAATCAACCTTTCCTTTTTTGCTCCCTCTCTTAAGGCCTAGCCTACTCCTATATATACACACACCACAATAATCCTCCCATCCCATCCTATGCTATAAGCCCTTCACTTACATCCTTTATCTTTTTGAGCGTTACTTATTCATACAATCATGGCCAAGTTTCCTGTGAACCCCTTTGTCCTGCTCAGGTTGGTATAGCTATACATATTATTTTTGTTTCTTTCACACAAGTGTGTCTCTGTATGAGTTTTAATTGAATCACCTATAATTATCTCAAGCGCACTAATTAAATTCCCATCTGTTGGACTGTTTCTACTTAAACATTCTTGAGCCTTGATGGTAAGAAATTAATTATGAGGAAAATACAATTAGGTTATAATATCTGATGTTATTGCTCTTGGTTGAAGTAGGCGATCATATAAGGTTGCAAGATCAGTGCAAAAGGCAGCGACGACAATGACGAGGACTGCGACAACCGAATCGGGCAGTGGTGTTAATGATAATGTAGCAAATAATCATGATGGTCAACAAATGAATCAAGTGTTTTGGATGAGAGACCCGAAGACAGGGAACTGGATTCCAGAGAGCCACTTTGAGGAGATTGATGTTGCAGAGCTGAGGGAGAAGCTCCTCCCCAACCCCAGCAACAAGCACAAACTTTAAATTAACCATATGGTGTAGGGTTTTTCTATATTAAGAATGTCCTTGTTGAAAATAAAATAAAATAAAATGGACACTTATTTTTAGGGTTACCAAACAATGGTATTTCAACTATCGGCACCTTTTATAATTTAGGTCATCCTTCAAGGGCTGTCCCCCATGTTGTTTCTGAAACGAAATTATGGATAATCAAATGACTAATGATCTTTGATTTAGCTGATTTCCTTCTCTCTCTCTCTCTCTTTTTTTTTTTTCTTTTTTTTTTTTGCGTTTGCTTTTCAAGAGCAGCAAGCAATACAACAATCCAACGACATAGGTAATGTACGTATCATGTTTGGTCTCTCTTTGATTGAGTTAGTCTTTTTTCCTGTTTTCTCCCAATTCGACAGATAAAAATGAAATCTTAAAAACCATTTAAGATTGCCTTTTGTTTAGACCCATTATTCTTTGCATCTCTCACCTCTAATCCTTCCTCTATCTCTACAATTAAAAGGACAATAATTCTTCTTCGTTTTTCTTTTTACTAATGCTGAAGAAGAGGCCAAATCCAAATCCAAATCAGAATATATGTTGAGCAAAAGTAAATGGCATACGATATGTTCCACTATATTCAAACCCAACAAAACCAACCCCATGAAATAAACAACACCAAGGACAAAGGCCAACAACAAAACCAGAATTGCATGCAAGCATGTCAAGGTATATTCGCATGTAATGGTACAAATGTAACAAAATTGACCCTTCACCATTCATGCCTTAAAAACAAAATTCTTCCCCTTCACATGAAGACTATCATAATTTTAGGTTGGGGGGGAACGAGTTAAGAAGAGGCATTATCTGGGAAAATATCCACATTCATGAATGGTTACAAGTATAGCTGAATAAGCTCATCGCTGACCACTGACGGAGTTAGTACGCCCAGATCTGTGAAGAGCAGAGTAAGATATTGTGGAGGGGTATAATCACGAGCAGACCTTTCAACCTCAACCTTGGATGGAATGGGTACCCCAAAATCTATGGGGCGTAATGCAGGGGCCATGTCTTTCTGGTCCAATGGATAGAGGCGAGCAAACTGGAAAACAACAAATCGAGTATGTAAAGTTTTGTGGAAATAATGAACAAATATTGATCTTTTGCCTCGGTTAAAAGAGAAATTTTGCAATTCTGATTCTTAAATCTTATAGAAATTTTTACTCTGCTGTGGACTACTTATATGACATGTATAAACCACACTGCCAATAACAAGCCACATGATGTGCCAGGTCATGCAAACAAAAGAATAATGCGAAACTTTTTGTAGGTGTAGCATTATTCACTAACAGAATATATGTTTACCAATAAATAGTATTAAATACAAGAAATTAATGACCCAGGCTATATGTAGTGTACACACAATGATACAATATGATTTCCTTATTAGATATAGAACTTATTTTGGCATACCTTGTAGCTTTCAGCAGCCACATAAACCGGTTTGTTCATGCTGTGTGCCACCAAGGCAATTTGAAATGTTCCCATCATATTGATAATACCTCCACTTTCAACCACTCCATCTGCCCCAACAAATACCATGTCAACCTCATCCATGGTATATGCCACTGCAGAGTCTATTAGGAGCTTCACAGGAACATCAAGCTTGGCCAACTCATTTGATAAAAGTAATCCTGTTCTGTCTGGTCTTCCCTCTGCAGTTCACAACATCAAGTTTGAATCATACATAAGGAAAATATTTCATACTAATCCCACTTGTTACTTACAAATAACTGAATGACAAGAACACAATTCACAGACTACAATATAACAAACTTACTAGTTTTCAATTTGGAGGATATTTGTGGTGATGTAAAAGAAAAACAGACGAAACGTCCAAAATATATCCCATATACAAGATTCTAAGAAGATAGAGGTTCTAAATTATGTTGTTAAATCCATCTTACTCCAGTTAATATAGCAAAATAAATGACAGCATGATAAAGAAGAAAACCTGTGCAGAAAACTCGAAAGAGTTTATTGCTCTTGGCCGCGCTCTTCAGTACTTCTAGAACAACTCTGGAGAAACCATGAACCAAGATGGTGCAGCCATCAAATATAAAGTCTTGACTAAGCACAGCTATGATTCTGCGGGCCTGCAGCATAAGACAAGGGTGGCTGAATAAGACACAGTAGTTAACGTTACCTCAAAGGCTCAAAGAGTTGTTATTAGGTCATGTACCTTTGTAGATATCTCCCCAAACTTCTCCGCACGTTCAATCAAACGAGACTTGGCTGAGTTGAAATCTTCATACTCTAAAGCCGAAGTTCGAGTAACATATCGCATAAACAGGTCACATCCAGCAGTCAAAGAAATGGAGGTCGTGTCCCATGACTGAAGCACACGAAGGGTAATTCACGTTAATTAATCTAAAATGCTACTATAAAACCAAATGGAGATCATAGCTTGACCTCTTTATCATTCTGTAACTTGATTCAACGAAAGAACACTTCATGCCATCTAGATTTATTCCCCAAATTAACTATAAACAGTGATAAGTGGCGATATCAATCAAATAATGGAAACACAATCAAGACAACAGAGAAGCAAGTTTAACAAATCACCAATGAAGAATTGAAAAACAAAATTAATATAAATAGTGAAGTTCACATTTACACAGTTAGCTTCTTTAATAAAATCTATCATACTTGTATGGTTTATTTCAAAGAACCAAATAAAAATGTATCCATCTTATACAGTTTCCCTGCGCCAATTTCAAGTGCCCAAAAGATAAACAATTCTATTCAGAAGATTGCATTATGATTAAGCCTCCATAACATTTGATTGAAATCTTTTCAGAAAAGCAGAGGCTTTTCCCAAAGGATAAACTATAATAACTGTAATTCTAATCTTTTCAATATTAATTACAAAATCAATATGACCATACATGAGCTAATTTCAACAAACAATTCACAAAATTTTTTTAAAAAAATTCTGAAAACTACTTTCCACTGAAACAAACAGAGCACAGTTACTCACTTTAAGAGAGTCAGAGGCCTTCTTGAGCTCAATTTCGAGCTCCATCATCGTGGTGGCCTCACTGGACCGAATCACAGACGCCAAGGCCCGAATGGCCGCCACGGCCTCGGCCAAATCGGGCTGCTTTCTCCAGTTATTGAACTCCTCGATGACGCTGAAGGGCTTGCCGGAAGCAGAACCGGGCTTGGCTTCAACCTCGCCGACGATTGGACCTTGTTCGTCGGGGTTCTGGCCGACGGCGGCTTGAGCCTGGGCCAGCCAGTCGCTCGTGACGATGCCGTGGTGGGCCGCCCGGGTCTGGTAGTAGGCCGAGATCTTAGGGTTAGGGTTTTGCGAGGGGTCGGCCATGGATGAGGACTGTGGTGGCGGGGAGAGAGTGAGGGAGTCGGGATTCAAGGCCGATGCAGCGTCGTTTCGTTCTTGGTCCTGCTTGTCGAGAATGAACGAGGCTGATCTCCTCCACCACATTTATGCCTACGTGGTGGGTTCGCTGGGTCGTCACTTCGTCGGGAAAATATGGTGAGAAAATAATAGGCGAATTTGCCGGGAACTGTTGTGCTAAAAGATTCTCCGGTGACGATAATATCATATTAGGGTGTTGTTGCCTTGTAATGTCATGTAATACGGTGTCGGCTAGGGTGTGGAGAAAGGTAAGAAGTAAACGACGGCGGCTTTGTATTGAGCTAACAAGAAATGATGTCGTATGAAGAAAAAGGGAATACTAAAAGAAGTTTTTATTTTGGCAACAAAAAAAAAATATATATTTTTCTGTCGTTTACAAGTTGGCTCATGATGATAGTCCTGTTGAGAAGTTCTCTCTTTGTGCGTGCATGTTTTGTCACTGCTTAGGCTTATTGGTGCATCAGCCAGAAGTGAGAAGCATATAAAAATTTCTCCAATATTTGCATGTAAAAATAGTGGTGAGTTGGTGGCATTGTATAGGGACGGTCCTACGTTTAGACTAATCTGGACTATAGCCTAGGTCACTTGATTTTTATAGCCAAAAGTTAATAAACATCCTAGGTGACTTGATTTTTTACATCCCACACCACACGGATACACATACACACCCCAGTCCCACCCATAGAAAATCTTTTTTTTATTTTCTTTAGTTAACTAACCCCACAAATTTGATAGAAAGAAAAACATAAACTAACCTCAAACACGTGACACATACCCCTTTTTAGAAAACACTGGTTTATTTCCCTTAGAGAAAATCATGTACATTGACTTGAGTACCTTCTTTTCATTTTTATTTTCCAAGTTGGCTTGAATGGCTAAATGAACGAAAATGGTTCATTTTTTTTAAATATATATATATATAAATTCTTTTGTAATGGATAAATGCTTTCAATTTTTTTTTCTTTCAGGGAGAAGTTCCATGACAAAATTAATAAATGAGGGCATGGAAATCCCCCAAACTAAATTTAATATTCACCGAACATCTACGTACCTAGACCCCCCCAAACCGAACTAATTCTTTAACTTTCTGCATTGGAAATGGACCTTACATTTTATTTGTGTTTCTCTACCCATAGATAACACGCATAGACGAGGAAATGCTTTTAAAATGATGTTGTGCAGTATAGCCGTGCGGCTATACAAGCCGGGTGGCTAAACTGCACAACACCATTTTCTTTTTTGTAATTATGTAATATCTTAGCCTTTTTCGATTACTTTAATTAGTATTTAAATATCTTACTAATTTCATAAATTACTTAATAAATTATAATGAATTATTTTGTTGAGTTTATTTATTATTTATTTTTATACAAAATTAGTTTGTTTAATTTAATATTTGCAATTAAGAAATATCTTAGCCTTAGTTAATTATATTAATTATTATTTATTTTTCAATTGTTCTTTATTTAATGAATAATCAGTATTGAAGTATTTTAATTAATTTCATATATTAACCTGGGTTATAGCCTAGGTGACTTGATTTCTTACATCCCACACAGACACACACACCCTTATCCCACCCATAAAAAATCTTATGTTTTTCTTTAGTTAACTAACCTCACACAAGTGACGTATACTCTTTTTTCAGAAAACACTCATTTCATTCCCTCACAGAAAATCGGTTACTTTGGTTTGAATACCTTCTTTTCATTTTTATTTTTCAAGTTGGCTTGAATGACTAGATGGAATAAAATGGTTCTTTTTTTTTTCTTCTTTTGTAATGGATAAATGCTTTCAATTTTTTTCCTTTCACGAAGAAGTTTAACGTATAATTACTATAATTGACCTTAAAGTTCATATTCAATTTTTCTATGTTGCTAGATTTACACAAGTTTAATTTTTTTTAAATTTTAAAAAATAAAAATTTGGAACTTCTTGTTATCAATGAAATTCACTTATACCGTTGAATTTTCTATATTTCAATAGATTTGTATGTAAGGTAAATTTAGCCCATTCTATTTTCAAATCTTGGATCCGTTCCTAATATTATAATGGCAATATAGAGGGAATATTGTGGTTGAAGTGTAACTATCCATGGAACTTATGATTTGCAATGATCCTCAAACAATTAAACTTGAGGCACCAAAATTTAATTGATCAAAAGGTACTTTTATTTTATATTTTTATTACTAGGTGACGTGGTTGATGACATACATAATATCTTATGCATGTTAAAGATAAACACATGTACAAAAGTAACACATCCGATATCAAATCTTGCATATGAAATTTGATTTGGTGTTTGTAGTATTATTATATCCGCTCTCTTTACAAGATTAAAAATAAACTCCTTAATTCGAACCAATTAATCATTTGATCAAGTTAGCTTCCCAAAATTTGACACAAAGGGTTTAACCCAATTGAAGTAATTGTAGTTTGAACTTTGCTCTTCACTAATTTGGATAATTTACAACTTACAATCCCATATATATATATATATTTGTTGCCGATTTACTTCCACACTTTCACATTTTACGGTTGATGAGACCATACACAACAAGAAGCCCCACGATGAGACTGTGATCTACGAAGGGCTCTACCACCATTGTCAAAACATCTTCTCCAAGAACCACTCCACATGCTGATTGCTTTCTCTTTACCTGTTCATTATAAAATTAACCACTGTGAATTAGCCTAACCGTGATGTGCGTTTAATAGATCAAGCCGTGTTCTATTTATAAATGAAAAACTCAAAAGTAAAAATTAAATTTACCTCTGCAACTAGTCTTCCAGACTTGTCTAGTATCTTGTAGGATGACTTGCTGGTCAAGCTTTCCATTCTGTATTGCTGTGGTTGGTTCTTGTCTTGCCCTACAATAACCCTACACTGTGACCTCCCTCTACACAAGCTAAAACTTTGTCTAACTTGAAAACCAGCCCTTTCTGGGTTGGCCTCTTTACCTGTGGATCTGTAGCCCTCCCAAAGACCAAGCAATCTGAATTTCTGGATAAGAAATTAGACCACATATTATTATCAGCAAAATTTAAGTATATAATCTGACTCCTCAAAACTATGCTGTTATAACTAGCTGCTATTGGATTTACCTTTCTCAGTATGGTGAATAGGATTTTGCCTTTCAAATCCATAAGATAAACTTTACCTCTGCATTTGCAATCATAGTTATCTACACGATACACAATTCGACCGTTCGAATCGAAGACAGTGCAACCATTGCTGCTCAGTATGAGAGACTTCATCCATATGGTGAATGTTTCTTGTTTTGAAGTGAAATATTCAGTAGGGGAAGAGGAAAATAGGCCCTGAGGGTGAACCTTCGCCATGATCAAACAAGTTGGAATTTTTTTTTAAAGAAATGGAAGTATGGAAGTTGAATGTTTCATTCAGCGCACCAACTAGGAGATTTTATATGCTGAAAAGCACATGCATGTACTTAGGAAGCTACAGTGAAAGGAAACTAAACAACAATTAAAAAAACTAATAAATGTATGATTATGATTATAATTTGGATTATGACATTGCTGCGCATGAGTTTGAAGATGTGCACAGTGCATGACAGAATGAATTGAAAAGTTCTAATATTGTATTCTCCTATTCTGTTTTATTTCTCAACTTTTTCTTAGGAATTACTCAAACACACACAAAAAGGGTAGTTTAAAACCCAATATTAATACCCAGTTGTCTTAATATAATTACATAATTAATTTGAATCTTATCACTAACTAGTCACAAGTTCACAAAGTGCTTTGCTATGTCATTCTGGGCTTTCACTGTAGCTGTATGGAGTTCAGCTCATCAGCTCACCAACCCAAATCTCAACTGCCCTGAATTTCATGCACATTACATACATGCATACGACATGGTTCAAACCAAGATATATATAGTTATTCTCTCATCTGGATGTCCACACGTTATTATCGTGCGAATGTCATTATAAACAGAGAGAAAAGTACGGAGTACTAGTAGAAAATACAATACAAATTCATGCTCTGACTCATTCTATGGCTCACCATGTCCTAAAATAAGCCAAGATATGATTTTGATTTGGTTTCAAACTAACTGGAAAAGAAAAAGAAAATCCAACTTCAATCTTATTTTCAAGAATTCTGAAAGTTTTGCTTTGTCTGATCACGACCTTTACTTTTGCCAAATAAAACCACAAGCATATAGACAGATTCCTGACGGGAGTAGGTTGGAAATGATCACTAGAATTTCATAGCTAAGTGGCTAATTGGACACATTCCTAGTGATTTTCACATTTTTGTATGCACTTGGCTGCCTGCAGATAGTCGACAAAAATGTGTCCGCAAAATGAGTCTGCTATTGGGAGCCTCCTGAGACATTTATAGCATGCTCCACAAATATGTTAATGTACCAAGAAAAGCCCCCATTAAATTAAAAATTTGGAATTGGTCTACATCTGATGTATATTTTAATTCAAAGGATACGTAAAATCTGCATCTTTGTTGATGTAAAATGAGGCCAAGAATCTATAGGAAAATCCTGGCCGGTATTTTTGACAGGCCTGAATGTTTTCTTTCTGATTATTTTAACTAATTGTTTCTTTTATTGTGATCGGATAAGTATCAGCCAGTCAGAGACTTAGGGAAGAAATTATAGTTGATTGGCTGTGACTTACCTTGTAAATTACATATCAATACAATAGATTTATTTTATTGAGTTTATCTGCATACTTTCTTTAATACCTGGTACCGTTTTCTAATTGGTAACTGGGTTGATATCAAAACATTCCAAGCCGCCATTCGATTCTCATCCATTGATTCTACTTCAGTTCCTTCAACAGAAGACTAGATAAGTGCATAAATTAAGCAGCATGAAGGGATGTTGATTGCTTAATTAAGACTAGCATAAGACTGACATGATCTGGCTTAGACACTAATTTTGCCTTCATTCTGTGGAACTAAAGCCATGACTTCAGGCCAACGGAGTCTAGCCTAATGGAAAAGAGCCTTAATTTGCAGACAAGAGGTCTCAAAGTTTGAATTCCTGCATCATAGTTTTGTGTGTGTGTGAGAAATGCACATCTCCTGTTATTTAGACTTTCACTTATACCAAAATAAAAAATAAATAAAAATCCATGATTTCTAATTCCCATTGACTTTCATGTCTGCTTAATTTAAAAGAAAATAAAGATTTTTTTTTGGGGGAAAGTGACCAATAGGCAGGCTTCCCTGCCTTTTTTTGTGATCAATGATTATAATTTATGATCATCTCCTTCCAAGCTAAAACAATCACCTCTAAATCTTGAAATTATGAACCAAAAGACATAATTCAAAATATAGAATATTCACTGAAGGGTTCAATTCCTTGGCAGCAGCATAGGTGAGAATGATTATATAGTATTCCACGGTAGTACAGCCACGTAGTACATCTTGTACATGTGTTATAATATAAGGGAACATCATATTAAGAACGACTTTCTTTTATCTGTTTATGCAAGCCTTTTGTTCTTGAGGAGTTGGCCTAACCCAGCTCAAGAAAACCAGGTTAATCAAAAACATCAATAACCTAAAAAATGATACATTTTGATCAAAGTGTTGAGGTTGTGCTATGGGCTCATTACCAGCCGTAAATCTCTTTAAAAAGTCTTGGAGTTGCAGGATTCATTCAGCATATGCAGATGGAAATAAATATTGTAGCTAGCGCTGATATAGAAATAGGGCCATGAGCATGTGTTTGTCAGTTTTGGTTGGTTTTGGGCGTTGCCTTTACTCCCAAAAGAACAAAAACAAAACCAAAAGAAGCCTAGCAATCAATCAAAAACCTTGGACGAATTGGTTGGAAGATGAAGCCTGGTTTGAATTCAGAAATTGATAGGGATGCTTTTGACTATATGACTATGTCATGGTCCTTTTGTTAATGAATCGCGCAAGAGAAGAGACTCGGATGAACTTGAATATCAATCTAAAAAGTGTAAATGGTTCTAAAACAGATAGTAAATGCAAAACATGATGTTCATATAATCCTTCTTCGTTGATCAAGATAAGCAAGTTCAAAGATATGGATTAGGTTGCTATAATAAATAGATTACTTCTACTAAATTCAACATAAATAATTAATAATGAAGCGACATACATCAAGCGAAAAACTTTTAGATTGTGTTTTTGGGGATTAGAACTACTTAGACTGTGTTTTTTGTGAGAGAATTTGAACTTGCGATCTCTTCTAACATTAAGAAGAAAATAATACCTGAAAGAATATAAATACTAGTGTATTCTATGTACCTATGCATAACTTAGGGTATATGATGATGAATGCAAATCCTTATTCATCTTATATCAACTGGTGACACGGTTTCATACAGATGGCTAATATATTTCTCAACAATCATATCCAATATAAATATAAAACAGGTAAGGTAGTGACTGAGAATCTAATTGTATTTAGGAACAACTAATCACAATAAAGAATCTCTAATTATTTGTCCTTTTATGGCTTGAGCAGTGTGTGGGCTGTGAATCTGCTGCTCAAATCAAATCTGTGTGGACCAAACATAAATTAAAAAATTAAAAAACAAAACTTACATGGAGAAAAAAGAAGGAATTATAGAATAATACGGTAATATGAGCACGTAATATAACTTATACACGTGTTATAATATGGGAAAACGATACGGTTTAAATTTCCCCCATAATATGTGAACAAGTTATACCACATGGCCGTAATCTTAATTCTTGACTAAATACACTAATAATAATATTTTTTCCCCAAATCAAGAAATTAGAAAGATAAGTCATTAACAAAACAATTATGAAATTAATTCTGTTGAAAAATAAAATTTATAGAAAGTATTTAATAAAAACATCGCTTTGGCCGTGAAAACAGCATGGGGGATGGCATGTTGAGTATCAATGTCAATGGGCCGCTGACGCGTTTTCATTTATACAAATCCGTATGGAAATTTGGAGTTTTGGACCGACAGCAAATAATTGCTTTTTTTTTTTTGGGGGTGAAATTTTGCTTGTGGTTTTGGACAATGACTTTAAATTACTAAAGTGCACACAGGTGCCAGTCGGAGTGAAAACGTAACACGTACACAAAATCTATGTTCCTGCAGGAACACACGCCGAGGATACTTTCGATATTTCGCCAACTAATTACTGCTCAGAGTTGGCTCTGACTTGTAAGAAAGCGACGTCGTTTTTGGATAAAGAGAAAAAAAAATAGTGGAAAAAAAAGAAGAAAATAATTAATTTTGATTAAAATGGTAAGCTAGCAAGCACGTTAATAGGGGCGTGTGTATCTCTGCCACAGGAAAAAAAAATAAAAACGAAAACAATAAAAAAATATTGAGAAGGGAGAAAAAGCACGAAACAGAAATTCAAAAAAAAATAAAATAAAATAAACAATACTCAATCTGATATTCGAGTTCTTCGCATATATAACGAGATTTTTTGTCTTCGGATTGTTGCTGCTATTCAATGTGGTGTGCATGCATACAAACAAACACGAGGGACTGGATTCAGAGAATTGATATTGCAAAATCGACGAAGATGGTAGCTGTTATATTATTGCTCTGAGACTTTCTGGGTACAACAAAAATTGGCGCCTTGGATCGAGAATTGAAGCGTTTGGGCATTGAATTGGGGACGAATCGATTTCTGGGTACGAGGGTTTTCGCAGCTTTCCTCTACCGACCAACCCGTCTCTGTCATTCTCTTGGAGCTTTTGGTTTGTCTCGGTTTCTCGGGGGCACGTGGCGGCAATCTTTCGGTTTTCACTGGAGGAAGATCTGATTGTGGTTTCATCTTCGTTTTACTTGAATCACAAGGTAAAATTTTAACCCAATTGTACCAAAAAAGAAGGGACTGTTTTTTTTTTTTTTGGGTTTTTGAATTTTTTGTTTCTTAGTAGCAGAGTTTGTGTGTGTATAGACAAAAAACGTTTCTTTTTTATGTTGGTGTTACTTGGGGATTGTTTTTGAATGTGTGGTTTGTTTTTGCATAGGGGGACTTATTGGGTTACGCGTGGGAGTGATTGGAGACAGATGGGTGTGAGTTGGGTCACAGAAAGAAGCGTGCTTTAATCTCAATGGTAGTGGTTAAGAAGGTGTTTGGGGTTTTGAGCTTCTGGGTTTTCTCAATCCAGTGTTCCTCTTTGTGTTCATTTTAACTTTGGGACTCGGGTTAGTTTTGTGTGGCAAATTGAGCTGTAGTCTGAGGAATATTTTTTTTTTGGGATCAGAAGTTGAATTGTGCGGGAAGTAGGATCTTGGTGTACAAATTTGAATTTAAGATTAACTCAAGGTATGCCTTGTTTTTTCTTTCTTGCCAGGTTCTGTTAGAGAAGTCATCTCTTGAATTGAAATAGAGAGCCAGGAGCTGCCTTAGTTCTTTCAGTGCTGCCGATGGGTGATTGACGAGCAAAGAATAAATGCGCCAAGTGTTAATCAGAAACTTTAGTGTTTTGATTTTGGTAGGCTTCTTTCATTTGGGGTGAATTTTGCCCAGTTTCTATCAAGAACATGATTGTTAAGAGCGGTGATAAGAATATTTAGTGTTTTAATTTTGGCATTGTTTGGGCACTCCACCTTTCATTGTGGTAAATTGGTCAACCATCTAGAGTTTGGCTTGTTAAGAGTGGCAAATGAGCAGGGCAGCAGAGTCGTTTGTCGATGGCTGCGCCCAACAAGGTATTCTCTTATTTCATTTCCATGCTGAAATCGTTGATCCCTTGGCGTTCGGAGCCAGCTAACGTTTCGAGGGATTTTTGGATGCCTGATGGTAGCTGTAGGGTATGCTACGAGTGTGATGCACAGTTCACTGTATTTAACCGTAAACATCATTGTCGACTTTGTGGACGAGTTTTCTGTGCTAAGTGTACAGGAAACTCAATTCCTGCCCCTTCTGGTGACCCAAGGACAGATCGGGAAGATTGGGAGAAGATTCGTGTATGCAATTATTGTTACAAGCAACGGGAGCAAGGCATAGCTATTCCTGATAATGGAATCTCAATTAACAACATAGATCTTAGTACATCGCCATCAGAAACAAGTTTTGTTAGCTTTAAGTCTTGCTGCACTGCTAGCAGTAGTAGCTTCACTCTTAACTCAATGCCATATTCAGCTGGACCATGTCAACGACACCAACATAGTCCTGGTTTTAGCCCGTGTCAATCATCTCTAATGACTACTAGCACAGAAAAGCAAAGCAAATTCACATCCTGGAGAAGCAATGATTTTGTAGCAGATATAGGGGATCCATCGACAAACCATTATGAAATTTCAACAACCCGGTTTGTATCTCCTTTGTGCTTCATGTTGGATCCACACTAGGACATGTCTAAAGCCCTTGTTTACATATTCTTTCATCCAGAAACTTCTTGTTATTATTACTCCAATTGTGAACTGCATTTTAAGTTATGGATGATCCTGATTCTATGCATAATTTAGAAGAAGATAACAACGAATAAAATTAAAAAGTTTATCTGTTATTTAAGCTTAGAAATTGATATATACTTAGTAGTGTTGTTAGCAGCTAGTAGCTACTAATTGGTTATTTATTCTTTGGCATCAGGAGTGATGATGATGATGTTGAGTATGGTGTATATCAGTCAGATTCGAAGAATTATCCTCATGCCAATGACTACTATAGTCACATTGAGTTTGATGAGATGAGCAATGACGATGGATCAAATAAGGTGCATCCTGATGGTGAGAATATTGATGCAAAGAATTTAAGCAGCTCCTCATTACTTCACAGTTTTGACTCACAGAGTTTGGAGGAAATCCCACAGCTTGGAAAAAAAGAAGATGAGCATGATACTGGTGATGAATGTGAGGCATCTTCCTCATTATATTCTCCAGGGGATATTGATGCAGAACCTGTGGATTTTGAGAACAATGGACTGCTCTGGCTCCCCCCGGAACCAGAAGATGAAGAAGATGAAAGGGAAACAGTTTTGGTTGATGATGATGATGATGGTGATGCTACAGGAGAGTGGGGGCGTTTACGTGCATCAAGCAGTTTTGGAAGTGGGGAGTATCGCAATAGGGACCGGTCGGGTGAGGAGCACAAGAGGGCCATGAAGAATGTGGTTGATGGACACTTTAGGGCTTTGGTAGCTCAGCTATTGCAGGTTGAGAACCTTCCTATCGGCCAGGAAGGAGAAAGTGAAGGTTGGCTGGAGATCATTACATCTCTGTCTTGGGAGGCTGCTACACTATTAAAGCCAGATATGAGCAAAGGTGGAGGGATGGACCCAGGTGGTTATGTAAAAGTTAAATGCATAGCTTCTGGATCTCGATGCGATAGGTAAATGGTGCATTATGATTTGGATATGTCATTTATACTTCTACTACACATCATTGATTTAATGGCTTTATTTTTATGCAAGAATGATAAATTAAACATGGGTGAAGCTGTATGAGCGCAAATTACTATTGCATAGTTATCCACTTTGTAATAACAAAAGAAGAGATATTTCAATAATCATTTTAAAGAGAATTCTCTATTTAGATCTAAAAGGTACCGGTGTTTCTTTTCTATGAATGCAAGACTATTCAATCTCTACTTCTTAATTCATATTTAATGAATAGAGCTAAGTTTTCTCTACTATTTTAAGTGGATTTGTTCTTATGAATTATTGCAATGCATATTTAACATGAATTAAACTGCCAGGGATGTTCTTGGATATGATACTGTCCGGTTCATAGTTGTAGGTCTGTAATATTTCTGTTTTTGAGCTTCTGCCTACTTAGATTGTACTGACGAGTTTGAGGGGAAAAAAGAAAGAAGCCCTGCATTAGATTGTACTGACGAGTTTGAAGAAAGATTGCACGTGCCGTTGTCATGTGATCCATGAGTTTATGCCCACTTAGATTGTACTGATGAGTAACTTTTTTTTAATCGAAAAAAGAAAGAAAATCCTGCACTTTAATTCAAATGTGTGTATTTATTGTAGTTGATATGTGGGGAATTATAGCTCCAGTGTTATGGATTTGACTATTGCCCTCCCCGTCCTCTGAATCAAAATATAAAGAATATTGTTGCTGTAGAAGCTTTGAAAAGGTTGTTTGTTTTCTAAGGTTTTAATTGCTTTTCTTCTAGTATGGTGGTCAAAGGAGTTGTGTGTAAGAAAAATGTGGCTCATCGACGAATGACATCAAAAATAGAGAAACCTCGGTTTATGATCCTTGGTGGCGCTCTTGAGTACCAGCGTGTGTCTAACCTCTTGTCAAGTTTTGATACTCTGTTGCAGCAGGTTGTGATTGTCTAATCTTCTCTCCTCTTAGTTTTTCACTTGATGGTCTCTAGTGCATTGGAAACTATGTTTTTTCCTTAATTACCAAAAACAAAATCATTCTTATGCGCTTATATCCTTTTCTAGGAGATGGACCACTTAAAGATGGCAGTAGCAAAGATCGATGCACACCAACCAGATGTCCTTCTTGTAGAGAAATCAGTTTCTCGATATGCTCAGGAATATCTTCTTGCAAAAGACATATCACTTGTTCTGAATATCAAGAGGCCACTTTTAGAGCGCGTAGCTCGCTGCACAGGTGCTCAGATAGTGCCGTCAATTGATCATCTCTCATCACAAAAGTTGGGCTACTGCGATTTATTTCATGTGGAGAGGTTCCTGGAAGATCTTGGTTCTGCCGGTCAGGGTGGGAAAAAACTGGTGAAGACATTGATGTATTTTGAAGGCTGCCCGAAGCCATTGGGTTGTACTGTAAGTCCTCAAAACTAACACATGATAGGGACCATGATCACTTTATAACAAATTGAATAAGGTAAAAGTTCAAAAGGCTTATAAATAGCATGGTTGCACGCATCCATCCACAAAGATGATGGCTATCAGTTGTTTGCGGGTAGTGGTTCCTGATCATTTTGCCAAGACCCGCAGAATTGTGGTCTCAGGCTACTCCCCAACTACACCTATTTATGAAGATTTTTTTAATATGACGCTCAACAAATTTGTTATCCTTGTATACTGTACATGCAATTCTGCAATGCTGTGACGTATTCATTTATCTATCTTGTCTATGCCATTCCAGATTTTACTTAGAGGTGCTAATGGGGATGAGTTGAAAAAAGTGAAGCATGTGGTTCAGTATGGGATTTTCGCGGCATATCACTTGGGTTTGGAGACATCATTCCTTGCTGATGAAGGAGCCTCTCTGCCGGAGCTCCCATTAAATTCTCCAATAACTGTGGCACTTCCAGATAAAGCATCAAGCATTGAGAGGTCCATCTCAACAGTACCTGGTTTTAGTGTTGCTGTCAATGGACAGTCTCTGGGAGTTCAACCTCACAATGAGCCACGAAGATCCAACAGTGTCCCAGTTTCAGATTTGAATTCAGCCATTAACAGTATACAGCCTTGTGTACTTAGTGGTCGTACCTCTCTACCCACGCATCCCACTTCACGTTTCACCAATTCTACTGCTTTATACTCTGCCGCGTCTGGGAATGTTTCAGATTCTTATCATAATAGTCTTTCTCCTTACCACATATTTGATGATCAAAATGAAATGGGTTCTAAAGAATCTTCGGTGGTGAAAGCTTCTGCAATAAAAAATGGCTCTGATATGATGTCTAATCATCTCATTGTCAATAGCATGAGGCCTTTAGAGGCTGTGGGACAAGGTATCTTGGCCAACACCCAAAATGATCAGAGTGTAAGTATTGGAAATCAACTAGGTAGTTCAGACAATTCATTGCTTCATCAAGATGGTAATACCCAGGTTGAGGACCCAGAACCTATGAATGAAGAGTTTCCTCCGTCACCTTCTGACCATCAGAGCATTTTGGTTTCCTTGTCATCCCGGTGCGTGTGGAAGGGGACTGTCTGTGAGAGATCTCATCTGTTTCGAATAAAATACTACGGCAGTTTTGATAAACCTTTAGGACGGTTTTTACGGGACCATTTATTTGATCTGGTGAGTTCTTTTTGACTTTTATGTTCTTTCTTTTTTGGAACTTTGCGATACAACTTGAAACTGAAAACGCTTAACTATATGTCAGAGTTATCAATGCCATTCTTGCGAGATGCCATCAGAAGCACATGTTCATTGTTATACTCATCGACAGGGTACACTCACTATATCTGTTAAGAAGCTACCAGAAATTCTCTTACCTGGTGAGAAGGAAGGAAGGATCTGGATGTGGCACAGATGCTTGAGGTGTCCAAGGATCAATGGATTCCCTCCGGCTACTCGCAGAATAGTGATGTCTGATGCTGCATGGGGTTTATCATTTGGGAAGTTTTTGGAGCTCAGTTTTTCAAATCATGCGGCTGCAAGCAGGGTGGCGAGCTGTGGCCATTCTTTACATAGAGATTGTCTTCGTTTCTATGGGTACTTTCGCTGTCTCCCATAATTTGAACATGTGGTAACATACAAGTTACAATATGATTGATATGATAGTTTTTTCTTCTGTGTGTTGGGTTGAACCTGACTCTGTTGGTAATGCATAATTCAGTTGGACGATGTTAGCCTCCCACTTTTATCATCTCTCGTTAAATTTCAAGTATATGCTAAAAATAACTTCATCATGGCCAGTCAAGTAGTCACACGACTAGCACATACCAAACTGATATGCGGGTTGAATGATAATTTCCTAAAAATCTCTCTCTCTCTCTCTCTCTCTCTCTCTCTCTCACTGTCAATGTGCACTCATTCAGATTTGGGAAAATGGTTGCTTGCTTTCGGTATGCATCAATTGATGTTCATTCTGTAAGAAACAGATGAGGTACAATTGCCATATATTTGGATATTTCATGATTGCATTCCATTATTGCTTTATGTAGCTTATTTGTTTATCTGGTTATATTAGGTTGTTGAACGGGCAGAGCTTCTTTTTTCTGAAGTACTTAATGCTCTTCGTCAAATTGCGGAGAAAAGATCTGGTTCAGGGTCATATACTAGTGGCATGGTAACACCTGAATCTAGACACCAAATTGTGGAACTGGAAGGAATGTTACAAAAGGAGAAGGTGGAATTTGAGGTGAGGCCTTCAATTATTCATGTGCCAAGCCTTAGTTACTGAATTTCATGTCAAGAATGTAAGCTTTTTGCATGGCTAGTTGATATATATAGACTTTTTCTTTTCCTTTTCTTTTCCACTGCACATTATCTGGATGAACCAGATATAATACTTTATCAATCAAGTTCCTTGTATGCATTCTGATTCATCTACAAGCTCCTTTAATGTAACATGAGTGATGGAAGTATCTTTGATTGTCACAAAACTTTCTTGTCACTTTTATGTATAATCTTGTAGGTTTTATAGTTTCATTTACATCAATATAGTCTTGTCGATGAAGATGGTATTCTAACCAGTCTTTATATATGAAATAATTCTGTTTTTTTTATAATTGGCTTATCATATTTTTGTTGACGCTTTTTTTAGGAATTACTCCAAAAAACTTTGAACAGGGAAGCTAGAAAGGGACAACCTGTTATTGACATTCTGGAGATCAATCGATTGCGAAGGCAGTTACTTTTCCAATCTTATATGTGGGACCACCGCTTGATTTATGCAGCCAATTTAGATAACAACAGCCTCCAGGACGGTTTGAACAGCTCAGTTCCCGATGAGCGGAAACCTGTGGTTAATAATGGAAATATTGCTGATGTGAATGTGGCAATAAAGCCAGGAAAATGTTATAATAGTTGTGATTCCTTTCTAGTGGATGCAATGCTTAACAAAGAATTTGACCATGGAGGAGACTTTGGTAGCACTGCCAATACTGACATGGTTTACAAAGAGAGAGACATTGGTCAAGATTCAAATAATGAAAAAGAAGATCAAGCTAATCTCCCTGGTGAAGTGAGCATCTGTGATCAATCTGAACCTTTGAAACCAAGGACAAGTATGCGTAGGACTCTCTCTGATGGCCAGTTTCCTATAATGGATTTGTCAGATACCCTTGACACAGCATGGACCGGCGAAAATCAAAGTGGAATTGGAATAGCAAAGGACAATACCTGTGCAGTTCCTGTTTTAGCAATGGCAGATTCAAATGCCTCTCCAGTGAAAGAGGGATTAAATTTAGACCATGCGGAATACCAGAATGGTCCCAAGGTTGCCCATTCTGTTTCACCTGCATTGTCAACCAAGGGGTCTGAGAATATGGAAGACTCTGTAAGCTGGTTAAAAATGCCCTTTTTAAATTTCTATCGTGGGTTCAATAAGAATTTTTTATCTGCTGCTCAGAAGCTTGACACACTTGGTGAATACAATCCAGTCTATGTTTCATCTTTTCGGGAGTTGGAACTGGAAGGTGGGGCAAGGCTGCTTCTTCCCGTGGGTGTTAATGATACTGTTGTCCCTGTATATGATGATGAGCCCACAAGTCTTATAGCTTATGCCCTTGTATCACCAGATTATCATTTGCAAACAAGTGATGAGGGGGATGCTAGTTTTTCTGATTCACTGACTATGCAGTCACACCATCCTGATGATGACACAGCTTCTGAATCTCATCGAAGCTTCGGGTCTACTGAGGAAAGCATTTTATCTTTATCTGGATCTCGTAACTCCCTGGGTTTGGATCCGCTTTCGTATACAAAGGCTTTGCATGCAAGAGTTTCCTTTGGAGATGATGGCCCACTTGGTAAGGTTAAATACTCTGTGACATGTTACTATGCACATCGTTTTGAAGCCTTAAGGAGGATTTGTTGTCCTTCTGAGCTTGACTTTGTAAGATCCCTTAGTCGTTGTAAAAAGTGGGGAGCCCAAGGTGGGAAGAGCAATGTCTTTTTTGCTAAAACCTCGGATGACCGGTTTATCATCAAACAAGTCACCAAGACAGAGCTGGAATCTTTCATAAAATTCGCTCCGGGATATTTCAAGTACCTATCTGAATCAATTGGCACAGGAAGTCCAACATGCCTAGCAAAGATTCTGGGGATATATCAGGTACTTTTGTGTTAACCTCCAAAGCTGTCAACTATTCTAGTCAGATTAACCTGACAACTTTAGTAACAACTATTTTCTACTACTACTGCAACTACTAGATATTGATACCGTATCTTGCTGCATCAGCTACATTATTTTTCTTGATACTTACTCTTTCTGTGGTTGCATTTGTATTGAAAGGTTACTTCAAAGCATCTTAAGGGAGGGAAAGAATCAAAGACAGATGTTTTGGTTATGGAGAATCTTCTATTTGGAAGGAATGTGACGCGGCTCTATGATCTCAAAGGATCTTCACGGTCTCGTTACAATCCTGATTCTAGTGGGAGCAACAAAGTTCTGCTGGATCAGAACTTGATTGAAGCAATGCCGACATCTCCAATATTTGTGGGAAACAAGGCAAAACGTTTGTTGGAGAGAGCTGTGTGGAATGACACTGCTTTTCTTGCTGTAAGTTTTAAAACTCTCCTCTTTTTGTATGCACTTGCATGCCTTGTATGAGCATGTTCTGATTGGGGTATCCTGTATTCCCGTACAGTGTGTACTAAACATAGATTAATCCCTTACCCATTCTAATGTCTTTACCGGTGCGGATGCAGTCAATTGATGTAATGGATTATTCATTACTGGTTGGGGTGGATGAAGAGAAGCATGAGTTAGTACTTGGAATCATTGATTTTATGAGGCAATACACATGGGATAAGCACCTTGAAACTTGGGTTAAAGCTTCAGGCATCCTTGGTGGACCAAAGAACGCATCTCCAACTGTAATTTCACCAAAGCAATACAAGAAAAGGTTCAGGAAAGCAATGACAACCTACTTTTTGATGGTTCCAGATCAGTGGTCTCCTCCCTCTATTGTTCCAAGTACATCCCATTCTGATTTTGGTGAAGATGCACATGGTGGTAATTCGGTTGAATGACACTGTGAGTCAGTCCACGTGTACATTTAAAGGATGTGATTCAGGAATTGACCCTGCCACATGATTACATTTTTTCATCATTCATTCACTTTCCTTTCTTTTTTGATATCCCAATTCTTTTGTATAGCAGTATCATTTGCATTTCATCTTTGCATGAGAAATTCATGATTTTTTTTTTTTTGGTCATAGAGAAATTCATGATTATTTTGTTAGAAGATGCAGAAGAAGGCCGTCGAAGCCATGGAAATTTTGGTCGGGGATGTATAATTGGATGACCTCTCCATGAAATCCTTATACGAATATGATTCTTGATGTATTTAGCATTACAACATCTATATTCAGTGAATCTTTTAGTCGTGTATATCTGTACATTAGATTGATGTTAATTTGCAATTCAATTTTGCTCTCTTCCAAAGTTTGGTTTGTTGGTTCATGTGGCTGAGTCTCTATGTGCATGTGTGCCCTTGTGTGTTTTTTAAACTGGTGACCAGAACCATGACTTCCGAGTCTAAAAGTGAAAAGCTTGTGGACTGGCATATCTGCCAGTGGACCTGCAGCTGTTCCAGTACTAAAAGGATTGCCCATACCTTGACATAAATAAAGGACGGTTCTAGTCAAATGTCGTTAAGAAAACCCAAGCATAGGGCTTGGTCAAAGAACACCAAAAAGAAAAGAAAATATAAATTTATATTATCTTTTATTATCCATGTAATTGCTTATTGAAATGAGTGAATTAGTGAACTGGTTTTCATATAGACCCTTTTGTTTTCGCATACGTTACACGGATGTTAAAACTCGAGCTCATGAGCAATTATTCCAAACCACTACACTTGTGGGTCCTTTGAAAATATATCGGGGAAGGAGAAAGCATTGGGAATTTGACCCTCTACATTCTGGGAAAAAAGAAGAAAAAAAAAAAACTGTGCTTCAAAGACATTGCATTTATGCATATGCATGATATTCAATTATATGATTCATTGAAGGATATGCCTTTCTTTATACATATGTTACATAATTATAATTGGGGGCATATTAAAGTTGTGGAACCATTTTATATGATTTGACAAGAGACTTGACACTTGGGTTGAGCTGATTAGCGGTGAGTGTTGGAGCCGTTGCAGTTTTTGATGTCCTCTTGCAGAACACTGCCTTTATCAGCACGGTTTAATTCTGTGTCCGTGATAAAATTAAGCCACCTTTGTTGTTGAAGTAGATCAAAGATCTCAGCGTCTCTGCTGAACTTGACCAAAACCAGTAAATAATCAGATGAGCCTAAAGTAAACTAGGTGATCAATTTCATAATCCATGCTTAATTGTGTTAAGATTGTGATTAAGATTATGATTAATTGATCATCTACCTGGGTTGACAACCTGTTCTTGGATTCTGTTGGTGATAATATCTAGGACCCTCATCAAATCCTTCACAAATTATTTCACCTCTGTCATCTTTGTAGCAAATAATTCCATTGGACCGATCCTCAAAAACCTGTAAAAAGAAAAGAAAAAAAAATACAATCAGATATTAACAAGAAATGTTTGTTGAACAAATCCCATTTCACCCCATTTTGTTTTAGAAAAGAAAAAAAAAAGTTGGTGACTGATGCTGATTTTCAAGGTCGTCTTCTGTGAAAAAAAGTAGTTGTGCAGTTAAAATTCTTGCCTCAGTGACTGGAAACAGGAAAATTAGTGAGAAAAAAAAAATACTGACCTCTTCTCTCAAGGAGCATCTGATCTTGAGTGTAGAGCTTTTGATCTTGACAGAAACTTGACAGTGTTTGAGCCTCAAAACTCTGCTGAAAGGCCTTATTACTGGACCAGATTTTTGGGTTGGGATACAAGGAGAGAAGCAACATGTTGCCGCCATTGATCTTATGTGACAGAAAGAAGAGGAAGAAGAAGAAGAAGAAGCAGTGGATGAGGAAGAAGAAGTTGTACTGTATTGTTGGTGGGGGCTATGGCTTAACCAGAAATAGAATGATGCTCTAGTCGTATAAGTATTTTTCTGGTTTTGCAGGATGATCAAGTACAGATATAAAATTCAATTATTGATGGGTTATGTCTTATCATGGTGCATTATATTAGTAAATATAGAACTCTTGGGCCCATCTTGCTTATCTTCTACCTGTTGTTGCCGGTGAAACCCAAGTTAGCTTGTTGGTTGATGCTCTGCCTGTTTTGAGATCATTGGTTGGTGGGGTCTTTTCATAAATTCATAATAAGTCATCCATGGAATTTACGGAGAATTTATTCTTTCTTTTATTCTTTTTTCTCTTTTTGCTGGGGTATTTTTATGTTCATCTGTTTGTTTTGAAAAACCAAAAAAGAAGAAAGAAAAAGAAAGGACAATTAAATATGGACAAACAATAATATTATGAGATGGGGAAAGTTGTATAAAATAGAAGATGCGCATGGAGAGCCCTTGGCTATTTTTGTAGGAGCGATGATGTTGCAACATCACTCAATTTGCGATGTCTAGTGACTGAATATAATAAATTATCCTTGCTTTTACTTGTAACTTGCTCAGCTATTGGCTCTGCATCAGACTTCTTCTACACCAGCAATTTTTTTTAGAAATAAAAAATTATCTATCAATCAAAATCAAGGGTTCATAGAATAATAATCTCTTCTTTATTCTTATACCATTGTCCGAGGCAGTGTTTTCCACCTAGACTTACCACCACCCCTGCCCATCGCATCACCGCCCATGGAGTAAAAGGCTTTAAAAAGAAATGGAATATCTTATGCAGGAGAAGAATTTGCCTACACCCGTATGATCTGTGTGCCATTCATATGATATACCAAGTGTGAGACATCCGTTTCATGAAACGAACGTAAGCACGTATCTTTCTTTCAACAGAAAATGTGACTTTTCAATGAGAGCTTACCCTCAACATGACCACATTAATATGGCTATATGATGATCGTGTAATCATGGAGCATGTGTTTTGGTGTTGTTCCACTATGAGCATTTCTATATGAAGTGCACAGCAACAAGAACATAGCCTTGATGCAGAGATAATGTAAACAAATTTTTAAGAGGTTGGGATAAGCAATTTAAAAGTAGTAATTATTACATATCACCTTTCATTTTTCTCCTTTGGATGTAACCCGTCGTGTCTTATTATTATAGGATCATGACATCAAATGTCAACATGGCTCTAAGTACTTGTTACTATATTTAAATGTGCAGTATCTAGTTTTTTAATGTTTGTGTGTCTGGTTTAAGAACTAGGAAGAGGAGGAGAGTCAAATGTTAGGCAAACTAAACGAATCAAAAAGGTCCTTTTGAGGTGATGCGGTTTCCCTGTCGTGCAAGTTTTCTTCTCTTTACATTCAATTCTTGAAGATTTTAGCCTCATGTCATGTGCATTTAAGACATATTGATCAATGTGCTTGCTTGCATCAAAGCCAGCCTTTCTTCATCAATTTATTATTCAGAATCTATGCATCTCCTAAATGGACCATGATCCCTTGTATTCTTTATATATTAAAAAAACACACACATAATGAGATTCAAATTGAATTGAAAGCACCAAGTTGAAATGCAAGTGAAATTAAGCACAAAATACCTATGGTATATTTTCATCTTACCCTACTTGAAGGTTGGGTAAAGGCCGACTACGTACCTTTACCATCGATTTAATCCAACTTGCATGATAAGGTAGGGAGATTTTTTCATTTTCATGGTTATATTTCACGGAGTATACCCAAACACAAGAGTTCGTCAGGTCCTCCAATTGTATATATGTGAGTCGTGACCCCTCACTCAGGTCATCCCAATTGTAAGCATCATCAAATTTTTTTGGTCTGATTGTAAGCATCATCAATAAAACCAGACAGAAATGTAATACAAAAACATGCAACTCTGACCATTACCCCTCACTTAAGTCATCCAAGTGATTTTTTTTTTTCAGAAATGATCTTTGAGGGAATATCTAAAAATTAGACAATTCGGATCATTAAAAGACAATGCATGATGGACTCCATAAACGTTTTGTGGGCTAACTCCACATTGTACTTCAAAAATATGAATTGTCTATCTTATAGATATTCTTTCAAAGATCATCTCTGCCCAAGATCACTTGAATCTGACATCATTTGACAATTCAATTAATAATTGTAATTTTAGTATTTTCTTGAATAATTGTGCTCGTCTATTTTGTTGGTCACAACTAGATGCTGAAACTGTTTTCAATTTGTCTAATTTTTTGCAAGAATGAACTATGAATAAAGACTTAAAAAATAGACGGTTTGGATCGTCGAAAAAAAAAATTTGTAAAGACCCTAAAAGGCATCCTTCAATTAAATTTGAGGGATATAGTCTCCTTATATTTAGGGATCCCTTAAATACCATACGATTTTTTTTCAACGATCCAAACTGTCCATTTTTTAAGTCTTCATTCATATATCATCCTTGCAAAAAAGCATGCAAATTGAAAATCATTAAGGCATCTAATTGTGACCAACAAAATAGACAAACACGGTGCTTCAAAAAAATACTATAATAATAACCATCTAATTGAGTGGTCAAATGATTTCGGATTCAAGTGATTTTTTTGTAAATATGATCTTTTAGGTAATATCTACAAATAGACAGTTATGATCATTGAAATACAATGAATGGTGAGTCCTACAAAGATATCCCTTAAATAAGCTTATTTGATAAATCTTTCAACTGAAGCGTGCTATATTTTATATATATATATATATATATATATATATATATGAACAAATGAAGTGCAATCACCCATCAACTATACATAAAGTCGCAATCATTTAATTTTGTAGCTCTCTAAAAATGATTTAAAATTTTATTTCTTATTAATATTAATATAGAGCAAGCGTGGTTCTTTTTGAAACAAATCGGCCGAATCATGAATTAGTTTATAAGTAGTATCTTATAATCATAACACAAAACTAATAAGAGTCTAATTAAATTATAACATGTATGCCGCTATGACTAGACGAAAGCGTAATGAATATATATCATATAAATTGAACCAAGATGATCGTGATTGTTATATGTGTGTGTATATGCGTTTGTTTTAAGGAATTAAACTGAATCCTCGTTCAATTTATTGAACATGCTTTCCTCAAAACCATTCATCCTTGTGAGTCTTTCACTATTCTTTGTTTTTCTCCAAGATACCTCATCTTATCTAACTTATGGTCCTTATGTTTTGGGACATAGTTGTTTCAATCATGTAGAATTTTAGCTAATGGGAATTATGAGAATAACTTGATTTCATTACTGACAAAAAAAATATCATATTATGAGAATTATGTTTTGGGACCGAAATGGCCTTGTCTAGTAGATGGAAACTTCTGAATAAAGAGTTAGGGAAATGGAGAAATGCCTTGACAAAAGCAATGGAGAACATTCGAAGCGGTCAAAATCTTA